TACCGCCCTCCGTTGCCCCACTGGGGGACGGTAAGCGCGGCCCCTCGCGGTGCCAAGGTGAGGGCGGTGTCGCGCGACGATGACCGGGCGGCGCCGCTCGGGCGTGTTTGGGTGACAGCTGGGCCGACTGATCAGGCACGCGGCGCGATTATCTTGATCCACGCGGCGCCGACCGGACTGCCGCCGCCAAGGCGCTCGAGATGGCCCACTAACACACCGACAATCCCTGTAATGTGGCCATTGACAGACGAATTTGCATTCAACAAACACGCTCCAGAAGAACCAAACCTAAGCGCATGAAGTCTCATACCTTAGATCTTTAAAATATTGTATTTCGTCGTTATTTTCAGCCGTTGATCTCGGCTTCTTCTCAGCTTTAATTCTCAGCGCCGTTGATCTCAGCTTGAACTGATGAAGTGATTAAGAAAGTGGCACTTGTTACCTCTGAGGGTAATAGCTCGGTCGGTGGTGCGGCCACTTTACTATCAATTCGGCCGCGCGGCGTGCCATTCCCGTGGCCCAATGCAATGTGCGGTGGGCGGCCGCCGGCCGGTGCGCAGCTATGGACCTGCGCGAGCGCAACATTGAGGGCACATCGATATCACCATTTGCACAAAGTGGAACGTGACAGAGTCATTACAGTTTCAGCTTGTGCAATTGGACATTCGGTATGTGGATTCCGCAATGGCGGCGCGCCGTTTAAATCGCCGCCCAGTTTCGAACATTGGCAGGTTAGAGTGGGACTCAGTCAGTGCGAGCAGAGCCGAGCCATGCGGTGATAACCATCAGGTAAATGGACTGAGTTAACTAGCTCAATATTAGACGAGGTGCACTGAAGTAACATCACGACGACGGAGACTACAGAGCCACGATTTAAGGCGAGCTCAGTCGGCTTGTGGAGGGCCCCACACGCCATCAAAGTTATCTGACCACACCTGGAGTGAACTGTATCGTCCCACCGAACCGGGGAGGATGGAAGGCATTAGCAGAGGGTGGAACTGATCGACATTATGCGCATGTGACCGACTCTGCCGGTCGTCAGCGGTTCTGAGTCGCGTTTGGGTTGCCACAGCGGCGACCACAGTAACGCGGCGTGTTGAAAGACGAGTTCGATTAGCAGCGGGTCCATCAGATGGCTCGTTAGACGAGCGTCGGATTACGAACCGAGCTCACCACAGCCACATTGACCGCCCGGTTCGTGTAAATCAGCCAACGATAGTGAGGCTGACAAAGATTACTAATGTAGCCTATATAGGGCCGGCCGACGTTCCGTCTGTGAATACAGCCGCCGAGCGCGGGCTAGCCGGACGTCAGCCCGGGTGGGTCGCAGACGCGGCGTGACGCGAGGGGACACGGGCAGATGCTGCACCCAGATATGCTTCTGTGTGAGCGCCGCCCCGCTCTGAGGGCGTCAGATCGTGCAACTGGGACAAACTCGGCTCCGCTTGTCATTATCGCTGACCTGAGAGGCCCAGCGGCCGGCCGTGACCGCCCACACCCATCAGTGGGGTAAGGGGCAGTGGAGAGACACGGCCGGATACCGTATGGGACTCAGAGGGCAGCGGAAACACTGGGGCGCAGTGTGGGACAGCAATGACCGTCCACCGCCCACACCCACACCCATCATACAGCAGTCATACAGGAGACATGCGGGACGCACTAATAAGACTCAACGGGTATATCGGAGATAAGGGGGACGCGGTATGAGGCTCCTCGAACCCAACTCCTCCTTTATTGAAGAGGCCATCAGAAAAAAAGCGTGTCGACCAAAAAATTGTTGGCAAGATAGATAGCTCAGGGTCCTACCCGCCTCATTCAAATAAAAGGTAGCTGTTACATTGCTGCACAGTTTGTGATCGAGCTGTAGTGTTACCGCGTACACGAAAGTGGACGGTTCATTATGCCCATGGTCCCATGACCATCAACTGGACTGGCGTTACGGTATGGGAGGGATCAGGCGCGACGCGGGTCGACTGTGCCTGGTGGACCGCCGACCCACGGGACCGAGGTTATGCTCTCTGTGACCTGTTTAGTTTCCATCAGGCAGCCTCGCTGGTGTTGTATGCCACATCACTGCGCATCCCGGTCAGGAACGAGCGGCAGACAGGTGCCGCGTCACTACCGGTGAGAATCGCAGCGGACGCGTCTCTCTACCGGCTAGGGTCGCGACAGTCGCGTCAATCAAACTTCGTCGAGGTCGCCTTTTTATGCGCCGCCTGTGACGCTGAGTGCATCCACGCTACCCATTAGACACAATTGTCGAGGTGTTAGTTTGTAATCAGTCAAAGAGGTCATGGGGGAACGCTCCTAATTTCCAGAAAACGATAGATCAAGTTAATTATAAGCGCGTGTTGTCCTCCGTCCTTCCTGTATTCCAGCCGACACGCAGCAGTAAACGGCAGTAAACATTGAAGTTACCGAGGGCTTTTATTGAGAGGAGAAATGGAGATGATGGAGACTTTTGGTTGAATCCTCCTTGATTTTCGATTCCGTGCTTGTGAACTGATAACAGCCAAATAACAGCTAACATTAGTAAAATGATGAGTGGGTAGCATTAGTTTGATAATAATAAAAAATGATTGAAAATCGTGGACGTGAATAGGATTCATATGAATAGGATGGAATTCAATCGCTCCATCTGTTATCACATGAGTTCCGGGCCTTTGTATCACCCGGATTCGATCCGTCTGTTCTTCCGCCCACAGCTCGCGAGAAGTCCGCCCACCGCCCAAACACTGACGGACGCGCCGCTGAGGCACACACGAACGGGCGCCTCCTATACGGAGGATCCAGTGGAATCTCCGGCGGCCGGTGATTATCATAAACCATCCTCGAATCAATCAATGGTCGGTAGGAAGGGGCGCCAGTGTGCACTCAGTCGGTGTGCATCTGATTACGCTGCAGTGATGAATATGCATGCCGTCCGCCGGTCTCCGCGCGTTGATGACGTGTCCCGCATTGTGTACTGGAGTGGCGGCCGGGCGGGTCCGTGTGGTGTGGATCCTCGCGGCTCTGCGCCGGCGTCCGCCGCCCATCCTCCGCCGCAAACAGGCGCCGGGACTGATTGAAACTGATCACGGGTGAAGACGGACGGTCTGACTTCCGCCACGCCCAGATAATCGGGCGGCTCGTATCGTCCGGCTTTAGCATCACAGTCAACATGTTGAGGTATTTTGTTACTTGGTGTAATCGCATCGTAATACATGCCTGTTAGTCGGTACCTACATGTCTTCGCGCATATCTTCCGCATCTTCCGACTATTGCGGATGTATTTTGAACGATGTCCTCACAAGCTTTCCTAGTCAAAGTGCATGCCTGTGTCGCTGTATAGTGTGTGTCGCCAACGAGCTGAGATCGGGACTGGATCATCACATCGCGCTCGGAAGTCAGGCCGGTCTCCTTACGAGCGCAAACAGCGGAACTCGGGCCGGCGGAGAGGAGCGGCCAGTCTCGGGTGTGTTTGTCCAGCTGGGCGCGCCTGTGTCCCAGTGTGCGGCAGTGGAGTGTGTGCAAACATTAGTCCCCGGCCGGCCGCGGCCAGACTGCAGGCCCGGAAACGGCGCGCGACAAAAACACAACAGACAGACCGGGCTAACTAATAGCCAGTAGATAGCACATAGGCAGACAGACCACCGCGCAACAAAAACACAGCAGACGGACCGAGCTAATAACGAGCAGACAGCACAGCAGACGGAGCGAGCTAATAACGAGCAGAGAGCGGACAACACAGCAGACAATATAGCAGACAGGTCACCGCACAGCAGACATCACAGCAGCCGGACCTAGCTAATTAGCAGAAATCACAGCAGACAGCATAGCAAACAGCAGACACAACAGACAAAAGACAGGCCGAGTGTCGCCCGAGCAACGACGACACTCAGCTTCCGGTGACCGCCCACAGGCCGAGGGTCTGACTATAGGTCATCAAATAGGCCATGCGTCGTTACTGTAAGAGGGAGCTCAATCTCGCACTGGTGGCGACGGGCCCACAGCCTTACAACATCCCTGCTCACCACACAGAGATTTGGTAAATAAACGGCACTTTACCAGGCACATAAGTCTTTTCACTGCAACACGGTTAGTGCCTTTCAATTATTGTTATAATCAAATTAGTTCGCGCTGTGTTGTCTATCTGTGGGTAGGCAGGCAATTCATAGTCGCTGAGCCATGAATCAATAAAAAGTGAAGCGGGTTTCAATGTCACGTCCTCCGTGTTTGAAAGTGAGCTCGCTCAATGTCAGTGGCGTCTCACGCGGCAACCGCCTGTGAATCTGTGCCAAATTACGGCATCGGTTTCACTGCGACTCCGCGGCAGCGACGCGCAGGCACCGGCTATTTGGGAGCCGAGGAGTGGGTAAAACATGCTGATGGACTTTTAATTGCCCATAAAGCCTCCGATGCTAGTTGAACAAAGGAATTCGCTAAAAGAACAGTAGTTAGCAAGCGTTGCTCAAGTCGGTCCTATAACCAGGACTGTTTTATGCTCTGAAGGCTGACGTATGACTGACCGCACCAAACCACCCCGGACGGAGGTGAAGGCAGCGCTCCTGGCGGATGCTAAGGTAACTTGGCCGCTGAACTAGGTGGCAGCAGCCAGCAGCTTCAAGGCTACTGCTCAGGCGCTCCGTTATCCCTACAGGTAGAGCCCTCGTTTCTTTTGTATGCGACCTGTATCATCGGTACTGGCAATTTTCCCAGCTGGCTTTCTCGCTCAAATGGTGCCATTTGCCATTTGAGCGAGAAAGCCAGCTGGATTTTAAAATATCACGGCTGGCAGCTTTCCGAGGTTCCTTCCCTCGGGAGACTGCAATCGGTCGTAAAATTGGACGGAGACTACTCTTATACACCAGAGGATAGCACCACGTCATGGCGGAGACTGCATTCCCACACAAGAACGTAGCACCAAATGGCGGGGAGACTGCATTCCTCCATAGCAGCGTAGCACAAGCCAAGCGGAGACCGCACTCTTGGCGACGGAGACTGCATCCAAACACAAGAGCGTAGCACCAAAACGCGGAGACTGCATTCCCTCACAAAAGCGAAACACAAGCCAGGCGGAGACTGCACTGCTACACAAGAGCGTAGCACCATATAGCGGTGAGTTCTCTTGCGCAGCTGCAGGGTAACACCAAATGACGGAGACTGCACTCCGTCACAAGAACGTAGCACCACACGGCGGAGACTGTACTCTTCTTCACGATCGTAGCACTAAACGCCAGGTGGGGACTCGGCTGAATCTCTGTAGCATAACACTGCGGCTGTGCAGGCGATTTCTGCGTCCCGTATCACATTGTAGAACTGAAGGCCTACATGCGAGCTAGTGGCAGCTGCTTCGGTAAGTATCGTCTTTTCCAAACTGTCAACGGCTGTCCGGCAGCGTGGGCTGCATTGTGGAACAACCCAGCAAACATCTTGGCTTTTTACGTCCAAGCCATCAGAAATGAGCATCCGAACAATAAGCATATGCGTTTAACCATCAACAACCAGTAGCTAACAACTAGTACTGAATTGAAGTCTCACTCTCCACAGCACCAGCAATCGCCGCCAATGCCGTTGCACTGAATGTTTGTGTCTTTATGTCTTTACGTCTTAACCAACAGTCCCAGAAGTATTAACTTTCTATCATTGTTAATGAAAGCAAGGCACTCATCACACGATGACATATCTTCAAAAAGCTGGCAGAATGTCATCAAAGGCTTTCAAAAATGCTGCACAACTATATTATACCTACAACTTTTAAGCAAACAAATCACACCATAGCATCACACGGGCCGAAAATATGCGCAATATTATTGTGTGCAACAGCCTATATAAGTATAAATACCTATTCGCCCCGGATTCATTCTGCACGACTTCTTCACAGGTTTCCAATTAATGTGATCACTTGTAAAAGAGCAACCCTGAATCGGACATCCCAGGCACAATTGGCATCTTTCTTCATGCACTTAGCGCGAACCAATCACACATTGTTAGGGACAAGTGACATATAGCAATCGAAGAACGACTGGCAATCATGCTGCTCTAGAAACGATGTAGTTTTTATTGGTTACTTTTTACCTTTAACGGTACATAGAAAAAGCAATGTGCTGAAAGCCAGCTTCATCTCACATCAGCCAGGTAGGGCAAAATCAGAAAACATTACCGAGCTTACCGTTCATGGTAACGGAGGGAAAATCTATCAATATCACACAAATGTTAATAATTAGACAACCCTAAAATAACTACAAGTCATAACTCATAACACGACAAACGATACGTTATATGAACGGTGCAATCAAAATATATTGGTAAAAGGGGGAAACAATCACTTCGCAACGAAGTCAAGCACCAGACAATGACTAGTTCCCGTGCGGGTTAGAGGCACATCTGACTCCCCGACCTCCAGCATTACGCCGCCGCCTCTTCGCCATCCGAGGTCTCCTGCCCCAAGATCCAGTCCGCCAATGAGTCCGCCTCCGCCAGCGAGTGCGTCCCCTCCCCACGGTCCGGCCGCCACAGGTGGACCCACTGTCCGCACAATCCCGCCTCCACCGAGCCCTGACTGAGCACGTACGGCTGCTCGCCGGCTCGGTGGGGCCGCGCCGCCCGCAGCTGGGCGTTACTCACCACCAGGTCCCCGTAGCGCCACACGGCCAGCCGGCGGCTCTTGCTCTGCCGACAGAGCAGCAGTAGCTCGCGCCGGTCGGGGCGCAGACCGTCCGCGCGCGCCGCCGCCGCCGACACCAGCCGCGGCGGCGCAGGGTACACCGTCTCGTCGACGGTGGGCGGGCGAGTGTCAGCCTCGCGTGGGTCGTCGGCGTCGGCGGCGGTGCCGACGAGCACGCCGCAGACGAGCGCCCAGTGCGCGGCCGCTCCGCCGCGCGCGCACGGCGCGTGGTTCCGGTCGGCGTCGTAACTGAGCGCCGAGTTAAGGCACCGCCGCGAATGTGGGTAAGGGGGACGTAAGTAGGAACGCAGTGCGATACGGCATACTGACGACGGTAGAACACAACGGGGGATTGCGGTGAACGGGCAATAGAGAACTCCACCTGGGGACGTTCTTTCAAAGTTCATTTGAGTCATTACACTGTTATTCAAAGAAGCTGCATCCATGAAATTACCATCATCGAAAGATCACCTCCCCCCCCCCCTCCTTTAAAAGGATACGGCACAAGCACGGCGTCGCCGCGCAGCACGGCCCTCAGCACGGCCTCGGGCCGGTCGAGGTCGCTCCTGACGCGGCCGGCCGTGGCGGGGTCGCCGCCCGGGGCCAGTCGGCTGGCAGCCAGGCGCGCCAGGTCGGCCGCCGAAAACATCTCGCCCTGGGCCGTCATCGCGGCGCGGCGCGCCTCCTGCAGCAGTGACGTCACTGTGACGTCATCACCGCACCGGCCCAGCTGTGTGAGAGCCATGGAGGCGGCGGCCAGGCCGCACCTGAAGGAGAGGGCACGGGTGACATGTGGTAATCTGCACAGACTGAGATGCAGGTTCAATAGGGATTTAAGGAGGGAAGCAATACCTACCATTTGTAAACTCTTTGTAAGGTTTACCAGCACTTGCTTGAAAAACAAGAACATGGTTTTGTGATCAGCTTTGATAATTAGGACAAGCAAAGCATGGTACTGTATTGACAGCTTAAAGATCAATGCACTCTCTCTCTAAACAATGTACATTGTTATTTGTTCATTGTACATGTTTCCCATCCTACCATCCCCAGAATAGTATCACCAGGTCCCGGTATGTCCGCTCCCTCTGCGGCCACTCACGTGGGTCCCTCCTGGATGATGGGCTGTGTCTCGTTGAGGTGGATAATAAGTCGGTGGTACAGGGACGCGCGGGCGGCGCGAAAAGCCACTGCTTCCAGTACGTCCTCGTCCTCATCCGTGGCGGAGGCCGGCAACTTCAGCGGCCTCGACAGGGAAACAGGTGGTGGGGGTGGGGGAGGGGGAGGAGGTGGGGGTGCTGACTCTCCCTTCATCTTGCTTGTTTATGGAAGCTTCAAGGAGCTCAGACCACCAACCTCATTTTTCTGCTGATGTTTCTCCTTTCAGCAATGATCTGAAATGATCTGAAATGGTACACAGCCACAGAGATAATGGCACAGCCCACTGGTTATGAATGACCAGCTCTATGTGATGTTAACCCGCCAGTTGCTGGGGTATTTCGCCATCCACCCTTTGATTGAGAAGGGGGGAATCATTAACCCTCGCCCGTAAACGGCGATCTGCCACCTTCGCCCATGCAGGGGGGGGGGGGTTGGTGCGACCCCCCCCCCCTTGGCGTTTGAAAACGGAGCGTCGTAGAGCTTAGCGGAAAAGACCAACGGATTGCTCTCGCCGAGATCTCGCGATTGGTGGTATATTTTTTGGTCCTAGGTCAACATTTGACCTACTTTTGACCGGTCAAAGGTCAAATTTTCGGAAAAATAGACTTTTTTCAACTTTCCGCGGCGATTGCGGCAAAACGGTGGGAGATATCGACTTGAAACCTTCACTATCGTGTTCCTTGATCAATTCTCTATCGTTTGGTATGTATTTCGTTTCCCTAGCTCTAAAAATGGCGCGTTGGGAGCGCCGGAAGTCGGCAAGGTCACAGTCGGCGGCAGAAATTCGAAAAATCAAAATTTAAATTTTTGAAATCTGATTGTATTTTTGGATTTGGAAGGTCCATTTGCTCCCTATTGAAGCTAATATTGCTGCATATTCCCATTGAGGTGACAAGAATTAGCAAAATAGTGGTTCGGGCGCTTTTCAAAAATAGTACCGGACGCTGTTCCTCTTGTGACGTCATAGCTCCGTGACCTGACCTGACCCGGTCAAGTTTCTTATACCATATGATAGCCAATACTTGCCCCAACATGCATGGGAAGTTTCATCACGATCCATCAACCGATGTCCGTACCACCGGCAGGAAACCTCGGGCGTTGGCACTCAGTTTGTGAAAATCCGGCCGGAGGCTGTTCCCTTTGTGACGTCATAACTCCGTGACCTGACATGACCCGGTCAAATTTTTTTATCAAAAGATGCGCAAGGTTTGCCCCATAAGGTACCCAAAATTTGCACTACAAAAATTGCACTATTTCCGAAAAACCTCAGGGGGGGGGGTGCACCAACCCCCCCCCCCCTACATGGGCGAGGGTTAAACGCCCCCCAACTGATAACTCGAAAACTAATAGGCACAGCAAAACTCACGAGGCAGCAAACGAAATAATGCGACAAGACGCTTCAGATGAGAACTTGAAAGTTGAATTTCAAGGTCACAAGTCGGGTCAAGGTCAGGTCAAACACATAAAATTGGGCTTTCAGTAAGATGGACTTCAGAACCTTGAACTGGGCATCTCTTGTCATAAATTCTGACCAAACTGTGCCCAATCCTTCATATAAGTGCGACACCAGTGTCAGATCCATGTAGGTAGGTGTCAGTCAGGCATAGGTCAGGGCCAAGGTCAGGTCAATCAGTTAAGCACATATACGGGCATACCTGAAAATCTAAACTGGCATTCACAGTCTATGACACATGTTTTATGGGTACTTTTGAGCATAGAACATGATGGTGACATTCATTTTATCATATGAGTAAGCACATAATTGTGCTTAGTCGAAAATGATCAAGTAAAGAAATGTCAGAAATGTGCATCACGGTCATGAAGTGGCTAGGAGAAATCGCCCAGATTCAGTTCAAGATTATGGAAAATGTAGCATGACTATTAAAAATATAAGATACTACTTTGACTGTTAATGGTATTCACAGTCTAATGGCATTTACGGCATGCCTATACGTCCATTCTGTGAATTTGTGACTTTTTGAACATATCAACATGCAGGCTGCAGCGGCTGTTTTTGCCCCAAAACTAAGAAATAATGACCTCACTAAAAACTTAATGCCTAAAAATTTTAAGTAATTTTTTTGACATTTTGCCATGATAGCCTTCAATTGATTCCCTATAGCCAGGTACCCAAAATTTGGCGCGCCTGCAGCGCACCGTTTAACTATGGCGCGGCAAAAAGTAGGGCATTTAATGCCTCCAGCAACTCACAAGTTTACAGTGTCTGTCATTTCCTGACTGAGTTGGACACAAGGACTCCTGTCATGATCTGAGCCAATCATTAAAACAGTGCACAAGTCATTTGGCTCAGATTTGGCTATTCATTAGTGCACTGCTGAGTGCAAGACTTACTACAACATTATATTACTCGAGAGAAATTGCTACCAGCTTGAGCACACATTTCAGCAATTCGCGTATTCTATTTATCAATCGTCAGCAATCCATAGGTATCATTAAAATATATTAATTTGATTTACTCAAAACCAAAACGGTTGGTTGGTTTGGGTTAAGCACCACATCCAGTGGACCAAGGTGCTAACCGGAACTCTCACGCTGTTCCAAGCGGTCAGGTAGCGGCAATGCCACGTGCATTGCCCGGGAATCGTACCCGGATGGCCGAACCTAGAGGCAAGTATCTTACCCCTAGACCGGAATGCTCCCCTCAAAACCAAAACCAAAAGCCCCCAAAACACACTAATGTTTTTCTCAGGCGTCATATATGTATTCACCTTTCACCTGGCGGTTGAATTGAAATAATAGACTTGAGTTTCAAAATATGAGCTAATGTCATATGATTTTTCCTTTTTATGCTTAAAATAAAATATTAAACGATATTGCAGAGAAAAATTGAGGATTCATTATTAATTTATCACAAATTGATTACATAAATTTGTATGCATTTTAAAATAAAACACCCTTGAGTAAATGGTTACCATAGCAACGTAAGCATAAAGCTGAGAGCGCTGAGAGCCGCAGAGCCGTGCTGATTCGCACGATTCGCAGAGCATCTCGTTGTGTAATTTGCTTTTAATTATTGCGAGTGCGAAGAAAATGCCTATCCCCAAGGCCCTAAAATATAGCCTGGTGTGGTAAAACAGAAACTGTTTTTCACATTTTACTAAAATAACGAAATGACCGACACCGTGCAAGCCAGTATTATCAGCGCATTTGAGGCGGAATCGTACGTAGAATCCCTGGAGTGTTTGAAGATCGAAGAAATCGGTTCTCCCAGATGGATCACGCTGCACGAAAGGCTCGAATCATTGAACATGCAAGCCTTGTTGGAAGCGCAAGGCCAAAAGGAGGAATATGTCAAAGATCTGATCATCTCACGAGACAAACTAGCGTTTCTAGTAAAGGACTTGATCATGACTGAGGTCTGGCGAGACAAAATATTGCCGGAGATCCTCAGTCAAAACAAAAAGCCGAAGACGTCGATCGGCATCTACGTCGTGATGCACCACGAGGTGACGGTGCTGTCGCTGCTGGAGGTAATGACCTTCCGTTTTCAGTCGTCCGTGAAGCCGGACTCAGCGGTGGAGGCTCTCGGCGATCTGGTTCTGGACGTGATCGACTACTGCCACCGGGCGCTGGTCAACCTGCTGGCGCACCCGGACATCCGACTGGAGAAGGACGAGACGGCCGCCGAGCCGCCCATCGAGGTACAGCTGGGCCGGCAGCGCGACTCGCTGCGCTTCATGGCCGCCGTGCAGAGCATCACGCTGCTGCAGCACATCTGCGAGCAGCTGAGCCGGCTGACCGTGTCGGCCGCCTCCCGGCTGCTGCGCCAGCACGACCTGCCGCTGCTGCTGGTGCAGCTCCTGGACGCCCGGCCATGGCTGCGGACCAACCGCGCCGGCCGCCGCCAGAAGTACGAGCGGCGCCAGTGGGTCGCCTCGCCACCCGACGACCTGGCCGTGGCCAAGATAGAGGGCCAGCTGTGGCTGACGCTGCTCTATATCCTCATGGACCGGGAGCACCTGGCTCTGTACGAGATCTCCGAGTACCGTCGCGGCCAGCTGCTGCGACTGCAGAAGCACCTGACGGACACGGTGCTGGAGCAGGTGCCGCCGCTGGGCGCGCTGCGCCAGTGGCTGGCGCACATCTCCGTCAGTCCGCCGCCGCCGCCGGCGCGCTCCGGCGTCATCATCGAGACAGTGCCCGAGCTGCGGCAGGCGCTGCTCGACAGACACGCCGGCCGCTGGGCCAAGCTGGCCAGGCAGCAGCTGGAGCGGCACTTCCGCACCGACCTGGCCTCCATCCAGGAGCAGGCGCGCCGGCTGGCGGCCGTCTATGACCTGGACAAGATGGCGCCGCTGATGGCCGAGAGCACGCGCTGCGCCGCCTGCGGAGAGGTGGCCGTCAAAAAGTGCTCCCGCTGCAAGGCGGCCTGGTACTGCGGCCGCCAGTGCCAGGTCAAACACTGGCCCGTCCACAAGCCAGACTGCGACGCGGCGTGAGCGTCCACGGCGGCGCTCGCTGGCGCCGCTGCGGAGCGGTAACCACAGACAGTGGCCTGGTTGGATGCAAAGTAGAAATGCTAGCACACGGTCGCAGTCAAACCTTGTCTCAACTCAAACAAGTATTACGTTATCACAGCTGTTGTTCTAGTCGCACAAGTCACTATTCATATCATACTCGATTGAACGTATTCACAATTGCTTATATTCAAAATGTGCATCATTATTCATCAAATAAACATGAAAATATGTGTGTTCGGCTTTGATATTTGAACGCAAGTCAAAACGGGGCGGCAAAACAACCACAATCTCCACCAGTAAAGAACTAACAGCATGACAGGGTGTCACGCTGACCAAAGACAGCGGTTGTCCTGAAACAAAGCTCTCAGTCCTCGTGCAAGAGGACCAGATACCGCTGGCATCGTTCTTACATCGCACATCTCCCGCTTTGAACTCCCTCTTCAATCCGCCGGACGGTGGCTGGTGTCTGCCTGCCATCACAGACCGCCGCCCAGCAGTACCGTAACGGGGTATCACAGACATGTCCCCACACTGCCCGCTGAGAACACCTTCGTCAACGGTCGCTTGCGTCATTTGCACACGGCGTGGGAGGGGGCGCTGTTCATAGAACATCTTGTTCTTCTTACACAGCACACTTCAACACACTGACGGTTCTCAATGACACTGCAACACCATCAACGCAGTCGCCAACGTCACGTCACTGTCCACGTCACGTCCCGCTCAAATGACGTTCCTCCTCACGGCGCGCGGCTGCACGGCCACCCTGACGGCGTCACAGAGCGCGATAAGCCAGTCCTCCTGCCGCAGCACCTTGCAGCCGGGCTCCTTGACGTCCAGCACCACGGAGATCTCGACCTCACCATCCTCGGACCACACCTGGTGGCTGACCAGGACAGTGGTACGCAGACGGTACGAGGCCGGCTCGTCCAGCGGACGGAAGTCGGTGGCGCGCGGCAGAACCAGCTGCGCCCGCTGGTCCGGGTACTGCACCCTCAGCCGCACCTGGCTCACGTCCGATACGTGTCGCAGCTCGCAGTCGAGCGGGATGCCCAGCACCAGTCCGGCGGTGAACTTCTGCGGGTGCTCCGTCTCCTGGCGCGGCTCGAAGATGACCGCCTCCGCCTGGGTGAGCGGCGACCGCAGTCTCAGCGGCGGCACGGGAATATCCGTTAGCAGTGGCGCCAGCACCCGCGCCATGGCGCCCGCCTTGCGCTCCTCGAGGGCCTCTAGGCCGCGCACCAGCGCCTCTGTGAAGGCGTCCAGCGGCTGTCCGCCATCCACCAGGTGCCGCTCCAGCTGCTGTGCCTGCTCCAGGAAGTGTTCGCCGAGCGCCAGCGCCGAGCCGGTGCGGCCGCGCACCTGCAGCACCAGTCGCAGCGCCAGCAGACGCAGACGCAGCTGGCGCACGGCCGCCCACTCGTCGGCCTCCAGCCCGCTGAACCGGTGCTGCAGGCGCAGCGTCAGCGCCGTCAGCGTGTCGGCGCTGGTCTGCAGTCGCGCCGGGCCGGCGGCCGTGCCCGCCCGCCAGCTGGCGTCACCAGTGACCTGCGCCATCAGCAGCTGGCAGTGGATGTAGGTGGAGGCGAACTGGGCGCGCGCAGACAGCGCCGAGTCGATCTGCGCCAGCCGGTCCAGGTCGCGGCGGCACTGCTCCAGCGCGGTGCGCCCGGCGCCCGGCTCGGCGGCGCGCCGCAGCACGCTCTGCAGGAACTCGGCGGCGTTGTCGCGCGCGGCGGCGGGCGTGGAGGGTGAGGGCGCGGCGGCGGCGGCCGCCTGTCCCGGCAGCCGATCGGGTACCATGCCCGGCAGCGTGTCACGCAGGTAGAGGAAGTGCCGGCGCGTGTTGTCATCCAGTAGCGCCATCATGGTGGGCGAGCCGGCGGCGGCGTTCATGACCAGCAGCAGGATGCAGACGTAGGCCGGGTCCTGCACGTCTTGCTCGGGCAGCTGGAAGTACGGGTGGATGTGCAGCAGGCTGGGCACCAGCGGCAGCACCAGGTCCGGGTGTGCCGCGCCCATCCGCTGGAAGCACCGCCACAGGCTCCGCTTGTCCTGCGGGTACCGCTTCAGGTTCTTGAGCAGCTTCTCGACGCAGAGTTTAAGCGAGTCGGTGTTCCCGAGCCGGCAGTCGCCGAGCATCCGGTGCAGGCCCTCGCGCGTGTCGATCGAGTACACCTCCAGCACGGCCAGGATCTCGTCCAGCTGGTCCTCCCGCAGCGTGATCATCTGGCCGATCCGCGAGAGCGAGTCCACGGCGCGCAGGCGCACCTCGGCGATCTCGTCGTTGAACATGTCCACGATGAAGTCGAGGCTCATCTCGGCAAAGTGCGGGTGCAGCGTGGCCAGCTGTGTCATCGATTCCAGCGCCGCCGAGCGCACCTCCAGAAACTCGTCCTCGAGGCCGTGCACGAAGGCGCCACACGCGCCCGACGACATTAGACTGACCGTGTCCGCCTGCAGCTGCTCCTTGGGCGCATCGTCGCCCCACTTCTTGCCCGAGGACCACTCGCCGCGCACTACCAGCGTGCGTAGCCGCTCGTGGCCCGAGCGCTTGCGGCGCATGTTCGACATGAGCTTCTTGTCGAGCGTCTGCTCCAGGAACTTGGTCGACACAGCCGTCATCGAGCCGAGGAGTGTGGCCGCGCGCACGCGCACACGCACGCTCAAATCGTTAATGGCGTTACAGATGTGTCCAAACGCGTCATCCACCAGGCGGACGGTCTGGTCCGACTCCGCCAGCGGCACGAGTCGTTCGGGAGCCGTCTGCGCCAGCACGTGCACCAGCTGCAGCCCCGCCTCGCGCACGCTCTCATAGTCATCTCGGAGCGCGGCGACAGCGTCGGCGTACAGCGGGCCGCCGAGCGACAGACCGCGGCCGTGCAGTGTCAGCAGCGCCTGGAGCGCCGCGCAGCGCACCCGCGGGTCCTGCGCGCGCGTGGCCTCGCCGAGCTGCGCCAGGTCGTCGGTGGGCTGCGGGCTGACGGGCAGCAGGCGGCCGAGGAGCGCCGCCGCGCGCGCCGCCACCTGGTGGCTGGCGTGGCTGAGCCGCGGCCGGGCGGCGGCCACCAGCCGGGCTGACAGGCGCGCCTCGCCGCCCGACAGAGCGCCCAGCTCGCTCAGCGCGGACAGACACTGGCCGGCCACGGAGGAGGAGGTCTCTCGCTCCAGTAGCGCCGTCAGCTCGTCAGCGGCCGAGGCCAGGTGGGCGCGCTCACCGGCAGCCGAAACCAGCTGCTGCACGAGCCGCAGTACCGCACAGCGCACGGCCGTTTCCTGGTCGCGCGAGAACACCTCCAGCAGCCGGCGCACCACGCCGCCGACATCCTCCACCTGGACGGGCACGGAGACAGGCGTCAGGGCAGGCACAGAGATATAGGTTAGAGTGGGCATGGAGACGTCAGAACGGACAGACACAGGTCAGCTGGCGCCTGGCACAGAGGCAGGCATGGTCAGAGCCGGTACTGGGACCGAGGTCGAGAGTCGAGACCGAGGTCGAGGTCGAAATGGGCACGGAAAGGTCGGGACAGAGGTCGGAGTGGGCACGGGGACAGAGGTTACAACTGAGCTAAAAGCGGACACAGAGACAGTCTGACGTCAGACCAGTCACAGAGACAGAGATTGAACACGGGGTCGCGGGAGAAAAACACAACAGGCGGAGAAACAATTAGGTCACAAGTTTTTTTCTTTTCTGATTCTAAAATGGTAATTCATGATAATACTAAACAGTAATTCAGGCACCCTAGCATCAAGTTCATTCAACAATGAACCACCTAGTCCTGCCATTTGACATGATCCCATCAATACCCCACCTTGACCTGCTGGCTGCTACCCCGCCAGACCCCGCCCCACCCTCAAACACCACCCTGTGTCCCACCCCACCTATCCCGTACCTGCGCGGGGCTGAGCTCCGCCAAACTGGTGAGCGCCTGCAGCGACTCGCGGCTGGTCTTGGCGCGCTGCAGGATCTGCAGGTAGCCCTCGGCCTGAGTGGACGGCTGCTCGGAGCGGCGTGTGAGGCGCACCTTCTTCACAGACGTGCCGGCCGCCGACTCCTGGTCGGCCGTCACAGTCTGCGAGTGACTGTACTCGGCCAGCGCGCGCTTCTTCAGGACGGCCGCCATCGCGAACCAACTGCCGACAACAGGTGAGTAGGTGGATAACCAGTTTGTAAATGACACAAGGCACATGGACTGTGAACAACAAGTGGATGTATGGATGACCAGCCTGTAAAATGACAAGATGTAAAATGGCATATTGCTAGGTAAGCATATCGCTAATTAAAATAATGCTCAACTGTTTAATATATAAATGATGGTGAATGGATAGAAGGTACCTAAACTGTGTGAATGAAGGTCTGTAATCAGTGCAAAACATGGATGTGTGGTCTGTCTGGATCACTGTTGCAATATTTAACTTAGGTGGCTTATTGTTTTATGCAAATCAATCATTAACAGGTTAACAAGATAGGACTCCACTGCCCAATCCTAAACCCAACCATGCTTAATGCACAAAAACATGACCTCTTATGGGTTAGCACCAGAGATAAAACAATCAACTTTACAAAACTTTTGTGATAGCCTCCAAGGAATGATACCAACCAAAAAGCAAAGGTTTGGTGTATTACATTCATTTTGACAGACTGACACATTGGCCAATCTAGCAACCAACTTATATTCACAAATCCTATGCCAGTATGCTACCAATGTCACCAACAAACATGCTGAAACCAGGACCTAAGTACGATAGCCCTAAGCCCACTCATCTTGTATTGGATTTATAATCTTGATAATAATAGCCCTTACAACTATGTGCTCCATTCCAGTGTTCAGCGGAAAGGTACGATATTGAAGTACTTCATTCGTGTAGCCCTATGTGAGCTACCTTTGGGCTGGAATGGGCTTAACTGATTCAGAGAACGCTTGTAGCTGTGAGGTGCCTTTCCCTCAATTCAAAACAGTGAGCAGCCATCAAATACTCTTCTGGCCGTACAAATCATTTTTTAACTAACAAGATGGGTTTACAGGGTGTGCTGTCAAAGAAAAAGAACTCACGGGCGGATCCAGCCGTTTTCACAGGGAGGGGCCAAAGCCTGCCAAAAGGTCAGGTCTCTGAAGGTTATCAATGAAAAAATTTCCTGCTTTTCATATACTTGGATTAATTGGGATCGGAAGTGAGGATTTATTGACTTATCTTGCATGCATTTCATCATTTTTTGTGAATTGCAGTCCTGAG